ATAATTCAATCATGTCTGATTCTCAGAGACTGCCTGGACAAGTCCCTATAATTTTCTTGACAAGGTTTTCAGAAGTGGCTTGCCGTTGCCTCCTTCCTAGGTCTCAGAGAAAGTGACTGGCTCAAGGTCACCCAGCTGGCTTTGTGCCTAGGCAGGACTAGAACTCATGGTCTCCTGGTTTCTAGCCTGATGCCTTAACCACTACACCACACTGGGTCTCGCTATATTTATTACATATTAGTAAACCTTATATCCCCAACGTATACTGAATTACCTTTGTATATGGTAACTGCTGCAAGTATATTCTGTACTTCTTGCTGAAAATATATATGGTTCCTTCTGTAGCAGAATGACTTATTAAGTTGCAGGAGTCTGACTCAATGTCTAAACTAACTTAATATTTCAAAAGCAGTTAATCTGAGACAGAATTTAATTCAATTTGGGAACCATTTTTGGATTATGTACCACATCCAAAATTTGGGCTTCCCTATGTTCAAGTGTAGGTTTGGATCTACTTGATCCAAAGCTTCTCCACTGCCATTGTTTGGATTCCTAATCTGTACTGGTCTGAGGCTGGCATAGAGATTTTCTTTCCCACTGAAATCAGTGGGAGGAAGAAAGGAGACCAAAATTCTGCAGAAGAAGGAATAGGAAAACCAAACCAAAACTGTTTGTGCTGGCCACTTGTGATCCAGGAGAGGTCCAGGATATCATGTATCCATGGTGGATATTTCCCTTGAGTTGGTTGAGCTTTCTGTCTAAGCCTGTATTCTTTGAGCCTGGTGACATGTGACAGCACCTAGCTGACTTTGTTTGGGTTCAGATGTTAAGCAGGATTAGGCCTGGTTAGTACTAGAATTGGAAACCACCAGGGAATTCCTGAACTGTAGGTTAGACTGGGAAGTAAAAAGAAGATGCTGAAAATAAAAACTAGGGCTTACTGAATCTGAGCTGCAAAATCTGGACAACTGCTAGATGGCAGCAAAGAGTTATATTTAATTTAATTTCAATTGCCATTTAATTGTATTGTCGAAGGCTTTCACGGCCGGCATACGATGGCTGGTGTGGGTCTTCCGGG